CGTGCTGTTTGGGTGTTCTTGATGCATTCTAAAAGTGAAGTCTCTAAGCATCTACAAAACTTTTGTGCGATGGCTGTTCGGCAGTTTGACAAACCGATCAAGATCATACGTAGTGATAACGGCACATAGTTCATGTGTCTTAAGCCTTTCTTTGCGTCTACAGGAATTGTTCATCAGACATCGTGTGTTGGTACACCTCAGCATAATGGTCGTGTAGAGCGGAAACACGCGCACATTTTGAATGTGGCTAGTTCTTTACGGTTTCAAGCGTCATTACCAATTGAGTTTTGGGGAGATTGTGTATTGACTGCATGTTACTTGATCAACAGAACACCATCCTTTGTGCTGCAAGGCAAGACACCGTATGAGATTCTTTTCGGAACACCAGCGAGTTACAAACATATCAATATTTTTGGTTGAAGTGCCTGAAATGGCACCTTTACCTTTGAACTCAACTGAAGCAAATCAAAGTGAGGCTGCACGTGAGACTCCACCTACTTGTGCTGATGCTTCGGTTGTGACAACACTTCCAAGTGTTGAACCTGCACTTGGTCGTGGACATAGAGAGAAGAAAACATCAGTGTTACTTGCACCATACCAGACATATTCTGCTCGGTGCATTAAGGACACATCACACTCATCGCTCCAATCTACATCTGGTTCAGGTACTCCATACCCATTGGCTAACTATGTATCTTGTGCTCGTTTCTCTAACAAGTATCAAGGTTTTCTGGCCAAAATATGTGCTGTAAGGGAACCAAGATCTTTTTCCGAAGCTATGATGTATCAAGAGTGGAGGGATGTGATGGCTTCAGAAATAAATGCACTGGAGGATAATAAGACATGGGAGCTTAGAGAATTGCCTAGTGGTAAGCATACGATTGGCACCAAGTGGATTTTCACCATAAAGTATAACACTGATGGAACAATCGCATGTTATAAAGCTCGTCTCGTCGCTCTCGGAAATCATCAAGAAGAGGGTCTGGACTATGATGAAACCTTTGCACCAGTTTCTACTTTATATGTTCAATATCCATTCAGTTATCAGCTTAGTTTCGATCTGGTTTAGATATTTTGAATTAGGTGTTTTTTTCTGCACATTGCAGACATAATTTCTTATGAATACTTATTAGTTTACGTTTTATTAATTCCCAAATTAGCATAATAAATTATTATTTATGTTTTCAAAAAGTTTTGACTATAAAATTAATTATAAATGACAACACTCACATATCAGAAAGTTTTTAGAAAATACATTTATACAAATGTTTTTGCTTAATTATATTTAGTTATAATTTTGTATCTTAATTTTCAAAATTTGCTATAGAAAATATATTTTAAAGATAACAACATAATAGATAATAATTATTATTTTCTATAAATATAATATTATTAATATATTTTGTTTTAATTATATATTAAATTATTAAAAATATGAAAATAAGCAAAATTACCTAAAGTTATGGAGAAGTTGAAAAATATTTATTAGTTTATGTTTTATTAAAAACCAAATAATGAAAATGAAAAAATTAACTCAAATCAAGGAGGAGTTAACAAATACTTATTAGTTTGGATTTTATTAATTTAAAAACCATCAAAATAAGTTATTATTTATGTTTTCAAATTTTTTATCAAACATCAAATTAATTATAAATTTCAATGTTCACAGATCAGAAATATCTTCGAAATTATGTTTTTCAACTATTAGAAAATATATTTATACAAATATTTTTGTTTGATTTATATTTAATTATAATTTTATATCTTAATTTGTAAATTTTATATTAGAAAAAATATTTTCAAGTTAGTAACATAAGAATTATCTTATTTTCTAAAATATAATATACTAATATTAATTTTCTTAATAATATAATAAATTATATATGATATTATTAAAAATATGACAAATAAATCAAATTACCTGAAATCATGAAAAAATTGACAAATCATAAAATTTACTTTTCGAATAATAGTATAGATATAAATTATAGAAACCGTTCAGATATAAATAAATATGATCCGATTCCGATTTTAATTTTTTTTGTTCAGTTCTGATCATTTTTTTGGATAGTAGCTAAATATCTATGTCTAATCCCATCTGCGGCAACAATGTCTGTCCACCTCAACTCTCTCTTAACCTATCCAACCACCTTTACTGCTCTTCATATCTGCAATTGATCCTTCTAAATCAAATTATATTTGACTGAATTTCTCTCCGATATAGTATGTTTATCTCCTTTGAATTTTTATATCTATTTGGTTGGTTATGTTTTAATTCTTTTCCTTTCAGTTAATGTTTTAAGAATTATCTTTTTATTTATGGGCGTGGCTTCTAAGATTGCATGTAACTGGCCTAGATTTTGTAAAAGTTACTAATAAATAGTATATTTCTTGTAAAAAAGTATTTCCTAGTTAAAAGTATACCAAAAATATATCAAATATATGATATATAAACATATAGAGGTAATCATATAGAGTAAAATACTTTATCCAAATGTTGACAAAACCAACTTTATTCAAATGCTGAAAAAATCAACTTTATCCAAATATATAAATAAAAATCAAAGCATAAAATACTGTCAAGTTCCCATAGACTCATATAAGAACAATCTTTGTAGTGAGGAATTAGCCTGATGTATGATTTCTGCACTGTATCATCTTTATCCAAATGTTGACAAAAAAAATTAACTTTATCCAAATATATAAATAAAAATCAAAGCATTAAAATACTGTCAAGTTCCCATAGACTCATATAAGAACAATGAATTACAACTCAGCTTCTAACCAAAATAAAATTATGATTTAATTACATTTCACCTATTTAATTAAATCAGAAAGTTTTGTAAAAGTATAAACCACTAACTAAATGTCATGTGTATTAGAGAGTATCTGATAGGCTGTCTGAAGCAATACTTCTTATGTCTCTCTCCTACTTCTCTTATATTTTCTTGTTATTTTTTTAAATGTTGAGATATCTTATGGATATTACCTTTAGACATGCTCTAAGCTATCTTGCAATAATTGACATTAGAAATTAAATATAAAAGAATGCATCAAATTGATTGAATCAGGAAACAGAGAAACTTCTATCCTTCTTTGTTTTGAGGTCGGTTTCATCATCTCAATCCAAACTTAACCAACCTGAATTGGTCACTTCTTCCGGTTACCAGTTCCAATTAAAACTGATATGGTCATACCGCGAAAACAAACTTTAAGCATCCATAATGATAATATCTTACCAAGGTTCTTCCGAATAAAATAAATAAAAAGAATTGAAAAATTAGAAGACATTAAAAGAGGGAATAAAGATGGTATTTTGCCGAGGAGATTTAAAATAATTTATAAGTCTTGTTAGTTTTTATGTTGTGATTGGTTTTAATTTTATTTACTAAAAGTTTTAGTTAAGTTTTAGTTCTAATTGGCTGTTAGATTTTTGGGAAGAGTTTTGCCAATACTGATGCTCATTAGATCTTAGGTATACACGTGGAATTATCATGGTCCTTTAATCACAATCACAATATTTTAGATGATAAAAATAATAAAATCATTTGGTTAGTAACTAACTTCATTGAAGTTCCGGTGAAATGACTTGGGCTATGAATGGGATATAGATAAACATGCAGATTTAATGCAGATCATTTATTTTGCAGTTAAGACTGCATTTGGGTCCCAATCACTATGAAAAATGCAGAGCAAAATAAACAATTAGATAATGGAATATCTACATGCAGATTAATATTAGTCATTAATTTATTGATCTGCAAGTATGAAAAGAAATGGGCCTATCGAGAGGCAGATGACCAATAAATGCTTTACTTTTGTTTAAATGTTTTTCCCTCACAAATGATTTCTTTATTCTTCAAATGAAATAAAAAAATTTTCATTTATTTCAATTTATTCATTTAACAAACAATCTTTTTCTAAGAATAGAGTTTAGTATTTTTTATGTAATAATATTAAGCGAAATAAAAAATAAGAAATGACTTTAAAGTATACTTTTTAGAGTATGATTTAATATTTTCATTTTGCATACTTTGGTAACAATTTATTGTTAAATGAATTTATTTATAGAATAACATGTAAAATATATGTATATATATATTATCTATGCTAAATATGAATATAGCAAATATTTTATATTTAGTTTGTACATATTCATAATCTTTTATAATTAAGTTGTAGTATGTTACACATGTTATTTTGTATTCTTTAAAAATATGTAATCAATAAAAAGCATGTATTATATACTCAAATGTAATTAATATTTCATAAAAATTAGTTTAATAAATTTATGCATTTTTATATGTAAAATTTTGTTGATACAAAACATATATAAAATTGAAAATTTTAGTTCTTTAGTTGAACAAAATAGGAAAAAATAACCAAAAATAAAATAAAAATAATAGCAAAACAATAATATTGTTTACAATTTTTATTTGTGATTACTTTTCATATAATTTAAAACATTATATTTATTAAAATGGTGATATTTGTTGTTCACAAGTGCTACTTATTAATTATAACTAAGAAGTTGTATATATATTTAATTTTAATTAAAAATATTTGTATTTATTTAAATATAATAATTTATTAATTAAGTTAATCTGCATTTGTTCTGATTGATCTGCATGATCTGCATTTGTTCTGCTTGATCTGCATGATCTGCATTTTTTCTGCTTGATCTGCATTTTTGTTTGATTTGCATTTTTTGATCTGTGTTCGCCATTCGAAGCCTTGGTTAGATCTCAGAAGTCAAAACCCAATCCGTCCCGTGACATTCGATATTATACGTATACAATTTGATTATGACTTGGCCGACCTAAACAAAAAGTCAAAATAAATCTCAATTCGTAAACGCCATTTTAACCAAACTCAATTTTCCGTACATACACGAGATCTTGATTGTCCGATTCTGATTGATCGAATTAATGAACGCTTCACAAATCAACGTTTCCCCCGATCGATCCTGCTCTCTATAACAAGGTCAAGGCGTATTTAATATGCTTGTAACTTTTGGATCAGATTATTCAATTTTTATTTGAGTTGTTTAGATGCACCGTAATAGCATTTACTTGATATGTATATAGGATGAACTTGATTTATTTTCAGATTCAATGGTGATTAATACTCTTTTGTTTCATTTCAAGATATTTTTTAGGATTTTTGTTTTCTTTTTTATGTGATGTTTTCAAATTTCCATATAAAAATAAATATAAACTGAAAGTTAAACCGTTTGCATTCTGTAGTACGAATTTTTATTGGTTGAATTAGTTGTAGTTATTGTTGTTTTCATGTAAACATGATAAATTGAATAGAATTGATTATTTTGAAGTAGAGGGAATATTAAATGAATTGATGAATATGATTATGATGGAAATGGCACAGTCTATGATTTTCATTGGATTGGTAAATCCGAATGATCCTTGGCATTCTTAACACAAGTTTCAGTAGATGCTATTGATGTGACACTGGAGGATAAGCTCAGCAAAGAGGAGGATCAGGAAGATGCATGTAGAGATGCGAGTCGTGAGAAATATAAGTTCTCTAGGGAGCATAGAAAGCTTATCCAAGTGATGAATGTGAAGAGTAAAAGAGACTTTCTTTGCTTGGAGAAAGTTAATGGCGAGATGGTGAACATACTGGAGGGACTCGATTTGCATACCAATGTTTTCAATGCAGCAGAACAGAAAACGATAGTTGATAAAGTGTGTGAGCTACAAGAGAAGGCACGTAAAGGAGAACTAAGTAAGTAGTTCTAGCTTGAGGTTAAAACTTTCCTTGTATTTTCTTCGATTTTCCTAAAACTTTACAAAAGACTTCGCTTGTATTTCTTTTTGTTGTAGAGTGTGTATTTGCTCCAAAAGGAAAAGGACGTTCAGCTATTCAATTCGACTGTTGTTTCAACTACAGAACAGTAAGTAGTTAAACTTGTTCATGATCTGTCTTTTTCTTTTTCTTCAGTAAGTAGTAGAACTCGTTCTTTGTAGATTGTAATATAGTCTTTTGTTGCTTTCTTCTCATTTTGACAGAGCAAAGCTGGAAACCCGGCTGGGATTCTTAGACATGAAACTGTTGATCCATTACCTTCTCTTTTTAAAGTGATCATTAGAAGGTTGGTTGAATGGCATGTTCTGCCTCCAACTTGTGTACCTGATTGATGTGTCGTCAACATCTATGATGAAGGTGATTGCATACCTCCTCATGTCGATAATCACGACTTTCTTCGTCCATTCTGCACTGTTTCTTTCCTTAGTGAATGCAATATCCTCTTCGGATCAAACCTCAAACTTGAGGAAAACGGTGATTATTCGGGTGGTTTCATACTCATTACCGCTTCCAATTGGGTAAATCATGTGTATTTTTCTTGCAAAATAAATTTATATATGTGACTTATTGGAACTATATAAAACAAAATTAATTTAACTTGTTTCAGATCCGTGCTTGTGCTAGACGACAATGGAGTAATGTAGCTAAGCATTGTGTACCAGAAGTTCCCACAAAAAGGTAGTTTTGTTTGATTTTTCTTTCATTATCAACATCGTTTGTGTCATTTATGTGTTTACTCGGTGCTTCAACAGAATATAAATCACATTTAGAAAAATGAAAGAGTCAAAACGTCCAATCGGGTTCACACCAGAGCCTGATTTGCAGTGGATACAGCCATTGCCATTTGAGCAGGAATCATCAGTTCATCAGACCATATTTATTAGTTTCTGAAAATGTGTATCTTAGTTATGTAAATTTCAGTTTGATTTGTGATTAATTGTTATATATAATGTGAATATTTGTTTTTTTTTTTACTTTTTCTTCAACGATGTGACCAAACAATATGTTCTATGAAATCAAATAAATCTAAAATTTCTATGGATTTATCCATTTAGTGGGAAATTTCGTTTCTCCATGTTTTGCAAATATTATGTTTCAAAAATATGTTTTGTGAATGTTATGTTTATTTCTCGTAGGTATGGATTTATATTGAATATGGTTTGATAGCTCCAGAACTTTTTAGTTGAAAAAACTAACAAATGTGAAATATCAAAAAAAAATTCCCACATTGAAAATTAGAGTCTAATATATAAATAAAAGTCAAATTCTAATTAGTATAAGAATTTTTGGGAAATAAACCAAAAGTAAATTTTTGCAGACTTGCATATTCGATCCAAAATACATAATATCGTATTAATCGGATAATATAAAGTTGGACATGGCTTCACACAATTCCAACAAAAAAATATATCACTATTCATCTTTATTATATACCTTATACCGTTGTAGTAGCCCTCGAGTTAACTCAATAATTCAAACCCACAAATATTACTCTCGTTCTAACCGATAGATCTGTTAGGATTCCAGAAGGTGTAGACGTGTCCATTAGAATAATTGAATTCCATATATCCATGGATTTGTTGTGCTGAAGTATGGGCATGAACCTAAAGATCCTCTTATTTTGGAAAGATCGTTCTTGACCACAGCCGGTGCGATCATTAATGTTAGAAAAAGGCGTATATGTCTGAACATTGGAGATTTGTCGATGAATTTCGACATGGAAAATAGGGTCAAGAAACCTTTGATCGATGGCAAAACTTTCTTTGCAGATCACCGATCTGAGATAGTTGACCAATCTTTCATAGATATCTGTTCTAACGATCCCTTAGAGAATACTCTCACGACTCCTGAAGAAAACATTTTTAGGACTGATGACAGAACCAATGAGTACACTCGACTAATGGATGATAATAAGGAAGCCATGCATGTTGACAAGGAAGAAGATGGTGAATCTGAAATAGAAGTTGATTGATACCTATCAGATAGTGCCGATCGACACCCTCTTGCATCGAACATCTGGGATTCCCAAAAAGTACCAAAAGTTGAATTAAAACAACTTCCAGCTGGACTCAAATACGCCTTCCTTTACGATAACTCATACCCTCTCATAGTCAACACTAAATTAACTAGCAGAGAACTAAATTTGTTGCTAAATAAGCTGCGCAAGTATCACAAAGCTCTAGGATATTCTCTCGATTAACTTTCCAGAAATCTCGCTTGATTTATGCATGCATAGCATACACCTGGAAGATGAGTACAAGTCATCTATTGAGCATCAAAGGAGACTGAATCCAAATCTGAAAGAGGTGGTCAAGAAAGAGATAATGAAGCTTCTAGAAGCAGGAATTATCTATCCAATTTCATAAAGCAACTGGATCAGTCTGGTACATGTGTTTCCTAAGAAAGGAAGAGTTACAGTAGTAAAGATTGATAAAAACAAGCTGATCCTTATCAGGACTGTTACTGGTCACAAGATGTGCATAGATTACAGAAAGCTTAACGCTGCTACAAGAAAATATCATTTTCCTCTACCTTTTATAGATCAGATGTTAGAAAGGCTTGCAAACCACAAGTACTACTGTTTTTTATGGGTATTTGGGATTTTTCCTGAGTCCTATCCATCCAAACGACCAAGAAAAAAACACATTCACTTGTCCATATGGTACTTTGGCATACCGCACGATGCCCTTTGGGCGTTGTAATGCTTCTGCTACTTTCCAAAGATGTAAGTATGTATATATTCACAGATATGATTGAAGATTTTATGGAAGTCTTTATGGATGATTCTCGGTGTATGGATCCGATTTTACATCATGCCTTAACAACTTGTATAAAGTATTAGAAATATGTGAAGAGAAGAATCTTGTCTTGAATTGGGAGAAATGTCATTTTATGGTCTGTGATAGAATTGTTTTGGGGCACAAAGTTTCAGCAGCCGGTATAGAAATAGATCGAACTAAAATCAAAGTAAGGACCAGTCTACCAACACCCACCAACATGAAAAATGTGAGAAGTTTTCTTGGGAACACTGGTTCACTACAAGAAAAGATTTGATTTACAACTACAGAAAATGTAGTATAGTTGCAAGTTTAGATTTTGTGACTCATTTACGACTACGCGTGGAGTCTGTAAAAGCTCGTCGCAAAGTAGGAACGTCTCTGTTTAGTTGCAAATTAACAACTAAGTTGTGACTCCTTTGTTAGTTATAGATTTGCAACTAAAGTTTTACTCCTGTAATAGTTAAAGCTTCCTACTGATGTAAGAAAAATTATGAATTATAGAATTTGCAACTACATTGTTAATTTCCAGAGAATAATACTCTAAATTATTATTTTTTATTTATTAATATGTATATCATTAAAACTAAAGTACATTTTGATACTGTTTGGAAATAATGAGAATTGTTTGGAAACATAGATAACAGATTAAATACTTTATTTTATTTCCACATTTAGCCATTGCATTTTGCATTTAAAAATAATAAAATCATAAAACAAGCAAAGTAGTTAAACTTCATAAATATAGATAGATAGAAATCAATGAAGTTCCAATTACAAAGCTCTCTGGATCTTCTCTCCCAAGTTATAAATTCTAAAAACATTTTCTTGTGTAAAAAGAATACAAGAAAGCTCTCATTTGCCTAAAACACCTTGAAAAATTATAAATACTTAGGTTAAAACTCGTCAGGGGCATAATTGTAATTTTGTGAAGTCTTGGGTTTCAAGTCGGCTGTCTCGCAAATGGGTCTTCTGCGCCTTCGGCATCGATCGATACTGCATTGATGATATCGATAGACGTGAATCACTCGGTGTCGACCTCATTATCTTGTCAATATCCAAGTTGAATGATTTTTCCAATTCTCTCTAAAATACTCCAAAATATCACTTTATTCCAAAATATTCATGAACCTATAAATATGCTTAAAAACTTCTATAATATAATAAATAGTTATAAAAACACCAATATACCATGACTAAAAGTAGGTCAAATCATGGTATATCAATCACTATGTGTCGTGTTGTCGATATCAAATCGAGTGATTTCTCCAATTCTCTTTACTCAAAAACATCATTTTTTTCCAAAATACTCACGAACCTATAAATATACTTAAAAGCTTCTATAATATAATAAATAGTTATAAAAAAACAATATACCATGACTAAAAGTGGGTCAAAATCATGGTATATCAACTCCCCCAAACTTACTCTTTTGCTTGTCTTCAAGCAAAACAAACATGCAGTCTCTCGGAAAGAGGTTTGAAAATAGTAGGGACTCACAAATTTAAAACTTTGAAATCATCATTTCTATAATATTGCAAGCCACATCTAAAAAATCCTAATCACAGAAGTTTATTATGCATATCCTAGCTTAGCAACCAAATTCATCTAACCAGAAAATTAGCAAATACTATGTGACATTCTTCTCAACTAACCTCGTTTCTTAACAAAAACAAAAAATGCAGGAGTTACCTTGGGAGTATTGATCACAGGATGCAGGAATTCTCAAACAAGTATTTGGGTATGCAGGTAAATGTTAGTTCCTATATTTTCTCTCTTCTAATTTCTCTCTTCTAATTTCTCTCGAGTCAAAATTTGCTTCTAAGGCAAGATTATTGATCAAGATTGGACATGCTTCCATGAAACAAGCCTTAATGGTGGTTGCGACCAAGTCATGATCACTTCTTTTTGACCTATATTCAAGAATTCATGTGAAGTGAGCCTTAATAGTTGCAGCCACCAAATCTCAATCGAATCTTTTTTGTTGGAATCTATATGAATCACGCCTTAATGGTTGTAGCAACCAAGTCCAGTTCAGATTCCACCTAACTAAAACATATAAATATAATTTTATTTTTAGATTTTTTTATTATATAAATTTACTTAACTATCTAGGGTCCAAAATAGAGAGAGAAAATGTGTTAAATCTATACAAGGCTTTACCTTCCAGACTTGTTTGAATAATCCGATCTCATGTATACCAAGCCCTAAGACAAGCAGTTTGTCAGGTTTAGTGTTGGATGTCAGCTTTGGTTCCTTCAAACAATCTAAGCAAGTGTGAATAGTTGAAAGGTTGATCCACTTTAGCATCATTAGTACTATCAGTAATCATTAGATCTAGAATGGTGCTAAAAAGTAGTTAGATGACAAGTATAAATCAAATAAGACCATCATCCCTTTCTTGAGCTCAATAAAAATGGTTTTTGAAAAAAAAATTCATAAGACTCATAGCAAACAAATATCAGTAAACCTCCCCCTAGACTTAAATTACAATGTCCTCAGTGTAAAATAGTCGGAGTTATGGCAAAAGAATAAATCAAAAGTACTCAAAGTAATAAGGAAGAACGATATACCTGACAGAACTAAATATCCATCGATGTGTAAATGTGTGCATCGATCATTGCAGGTGATGTTGTGTCGACCGATATCGACTTGGTCTCGTCGGTCGGTAAGAGGGTAATCTGTTTCTTCTTGAGTCCTTTTTTTTATGAAAACCTGCAAAAGTAAAAACGAAAAAGAATTAATAAAGACAAAGAAAACCAAAATAAAAATTATCTAATAGTGGTTGCCTCCCACTCAGCGCTTTGTTATAATCTTTTAGCTTGACTTTTGAGGTATGTTGTGCTAGTTTGTGGAAAAGCAGCTACTTATTGGAAAACGTGTATCCACATCATCTCTGCTGATTCTGAACCAAGTAGCCATTAAACTTATTGTGGCTTCATCACTTCTGGCACATCTTTCATCTATCTTGACAGCTGTATTTGAGATGTTTTGAAGCCTTTCCTCAAGACTTTCAATGCTGATACTGTGCCTTTCAATCTTATCATAGACATATACTGCCAATTCCTTTAGTTAATGTTGCACTGAATCAAACAAGACTAGCTTCTCCTGTAACATCTTCTCTCGGTATGGTGTAGACTCGGTATCGATCGCTGCGACTGTTGTTGCTTCGATCACATCTAGTGTAGCTCCGTCGCTCGATTTTCAGGTGAACCTGTCGATCGATGCTGATGCTTCAGGATGACATGCGAGCCGTTTCTGAATCGCTTTGACTTCCTTCTGCAGCCATTGTGTTCCTGAATGTAATCCACTGATGATGTTGTTGAAGGGGAAGAATATGTCATCATAATTATGCTTAAAAGCTAGCATAAGATCGAATCGATAGATATAGCATAAGATGGAGATCGAAAGCATCAAGAACCTATACTCATGAACCTATAAATATGCTTAAAAGCTCCAAAAACATCCCTTTCTTCCAATATACTCATGAACCTATAAATATGCTTAAAAGCTTCTATAATATAATAAATAGTTATAAGAACACCAATATACCATCATGGTATATCAGAATTCAGAACCATAAAGCCAAAGTTTGACTATACCATCACATTTAGTCCAAGCAACATCATTTACTTCCATCGGTAGCAGTGTCTCGTCAAGGTGACCAAAGATATCGAAGCTCTAGCAATGAGTTAAGAAGAGCTCTCTCCAGGCTAGTAGTTAGGCTTGGGCATTCGGGTCCCAATCGAGTTTTGGCTTTGTCCTATCAGGTCTCGGTTTTTCAGTTTTATCAAAATCAGCCCCATTCTGATTATATGAAAGTTCGGTTCGGGTTATATCAGATTCGGGTTGGGGTTAGTAAATCTTCAAAGAACTGGTATAACCCATTGTACTTCTGGATTCGGGTCCCAATCGGTTCTTCGGTTTAAAAGTACATGATTTGTACCTACTTTGTAATCAAAACATAAGTAAAATCGTTTTTTTTTATTTAAAGTATCTGATTTGTATATGTTTTGTAATCAAAACATAAATAAAATTGATTCAAAAATAAGAAAAGAACATCAAACATGATCATTCAAAATCAAATAAAAGGTATATATAGTTGTTGATAGAAAGAAAACTAAATAAATGAAGCATAAAACGAAAATTAAGTTCTCATGAAATGAGAAACATTATTCAATGAATATAAAACTAAAACCTAATAGATAATTATCTTAGATGTTAAATAATAGCTTAAAGTATTTTGGATACATATTAGGAATTGAGATCATGTTTGATATAATTTTTTTAAGATTTTGAATGTTTCGAATTCAATCAGATATCCATTTAAGTTTGGGTTTGATTATGATAATATTCATAACCCAAAATATCATAAAACAAAATTGGTTTGATATTTATATCGGGTTTGGATCGGTTCATATTCATTTTTATTGGATCGGTTCAGTTTAAATTTTCAGGAAGGATTAGGATATGCGAATTGATGTTTGTGGCGCCTATGCGCGCTCAAGAGTTGTAGGTGCAGCCGCCATAGTGGGTGAGAATTAGAGAGAAAGAGAACATGGTGGGTGAGAATTACAAAGAAAGAGAAGAAGAAGAATGGGTGGCGAAAGAAAAAAAATAATTGGAAGTAGGTTCAGGATCGAGATGATGATGAACACTCTGATACCGTGAAAGTGGAAATATCTTCCCTTAATTCATTTACGTGATTTACAACCACATATAACCAGAGAACTTTTACAAGATATGTGAGATATGTCCACGATTCTAGAAGACTAAATCTAAACCAGAATATAATATTCTTTTTTTGTTTTAGAATATAATATTCTTGGTTGACTAACAATCGCATTTTCATAGTGATGCGGCGTGAGTTACTGATTTCACATCTTTTAACTAAACATCAACGCTTGGATTTCATCAACAGCTCATAAACCGCATACTTGTATCAGTAAGATTATATATCTTGGTCAAACTTTTAAGATAACGATTCCTTATTCATAAGACAAGTAGGGCCGGAGCTGAGATTTTGGGGACTTCAAATATTTCTTAAGAACTCTAAAAAATTTGGGGGCCAAGGTCAATATTTAGGGGCTTATTCGTAGGTTAAAAAAGTTTAAAATTTTTGGGGGCCTAGACGAATGTTTCGTCCGCCTATGTCCAAATCCGGCCCTGAAGATAAGTCATGCTACTCCCAGTTCTATCGTCACATTGATTTTGATAGTAATATTCACTAACGTCAACAGATACAATACAAAGATTCCGTTTTCCGACGACTCCATTATGATACTATTTGGATTTAAGATATATATCTTTTTTGGGGTCAAGACATATATGTGATTCTTGAAGCGGCTATCCAGTCGAACCACATACCACACAACACATGTGCACTCGCCTTTATTCGTGGCGCTATTTTTTTAATTGAACGGCTAGTAAACAAACACAACCTTTTGGTTGACACTTGGAAAGATCAACTACTTAGGTCCATGTGTTTACAAATGTGGCACTGTATTTTTCTACAGATTAAATGTAAATGCCAACTATATGCCACTCTAAATATCTTAAATAAAAAAAGTTCCAAACTAAAACATTAACCAACTTATATTGAGCTATATTACAGATCTCATGAATTTATATAGTACGATAATATTTTCTATAACATCATAAAACTTTACTATAAGAAAGTAGTATCTTTCGTAAAGAAACTAGTTTCAGTTGACAAAAAAAAAAAAAAAAAAACTAGTTTCAATTTCACGACAAAATAAAAACATAGGAAATGTACAAAAATATAAAACTACTAGGTGATTTTCCCGTGTTCATGCACGGATATGAATATTTATAAAAGTAAAATTTTATAATCACTGATTGATATTAGTTTTAGTTTTAGTTTTGAAGCAAATTATATGTATAATTTATATTAATAAATATTAAATTATTCTAATTATACATGTGACTTTGGATATATTATTATCAGTTTAATGATTTTTTTTATCAATAGTTGGTTTGGTTATCAATTTGATATATTGGATAATATATATTTTTCAAATTCAGCTAGAATATTTTAATTCTAAATAGAATAAAATTTTGATTAATTTTCTTATTCTTATTTCGGTTGATTATTGTCTTTAGATATGTAAATATATTATAGTCAAATTATGTATAACTTAATATATATTGTGCTTAAAATGAATAAATAATAAGCTGAAGTGTTTGATTCAAAATTACATAAATGAATATAATGATAATATTTTAAAGTCACATGCATATAAATTGATTAATATTTTTTTTAATACACTTTGAGTCAATCTCTAATTTATATGTATAAAATTAAATATATTATTATTATTAAATTATAAGATGTTTAGTTTTGGATATAAATTAGATCAGTCGAGTCATTCATTTTGTGAGTATATTGAGTTAAATATATTTTTAAATTAAAATTGAAGTATAATTACTTTTTATTTTAGTCAAGTCATATCAAATTAGTTTTATTTATCTCTTAAATATACATGTATTTTCATAATATTTATTTACTCTTTATTTTAGCTAAGTCATATCAAATTAGTTTTATTTATTGCTTAAATATACATGTATTTTCATAATATTTATCAAATTATATGTTGATTATTAAAAAATATTAGAAAATAAAGTGTAACTGATAAATTTTTAGATGTTCATGAACATATATATATTTTTATTATTTTAAAAATATATTTATGTTATTTAAAATATATATTAATGGGGGTATTACTATTTTGTGAACTTTCCATTTTAATAAAGTCCTATTATATACATATATTTTCGTTTTAAAATTTTAGAAATATTTCCTTTTTATTATATATGTTATTTGGAAAAAGAAAAAAAATAAATGAAAAAAAATAATCTTAAAATCTAATAATTCATTAAGGGTATCTATGTAATCAACTACGCGAGAGTGAACGGGACACGTAGGAAACTGACTTCTCAAATAATATTATAGAGATTAGAACAAATAAATTTCACATTATAACAAAATTATAAAAATATTTAGACAAATGATTAACGCTGTACGTACCTTGTCTCAATCGATTCACATAAATTGCTTACGTTCAGTGGATATCTCAGGAAGCAGTGTAGTAGGATAGCAGAGAGATCTTTAACTAGTTTACAACAAAACTACAGCTATTGATAAAGGATAAGGAGCCCCCATTTTGAAAACCAAGAAACCATACACAAATATAATGGTTACATCAATCTAATGCACTTCACAACATAGATTCATGATCCAAGGTCATATATGTAGTAGTCATAACAATATATTATTCAAAAAAAAAAATCTATTGAATCATCTCAGACTTTAAACCCTTTTAGCTAGTGATGCAAAGGGTTTGGACCGCTAGGTACTATCCGGTCCTCATCATTATACCAAGAATCAGTTTCTTTTTCGGTTGAGCTTCTACGCTGACGTTGAGTACGATCTTTGTTCTTGAAAAACGGAGTAAAATCAAAATTACTTGCTAGAATTCTCTTATGGCCGAGACCAGTGCTGGCTTTAGGCCTGTACGAGGTCGTATATGCAAAAGAAACAAAAAGAACAACGAATAGCACAGAGAGTATAGAGATGTGGAAAAGGAAACTACACGGTTTAGGGTGTTTCTTCATGGCCTTGTAGATGAAATATATGATGAAGAAGCAAAAGAGCTCATGGACACAGAGACAGAAGGAGAGAGATAGAGAGAGAGAGAGAGAGAG